CTTCGATTCCTTGATACTCACTGAAATCTTCTTTTTGAAAAATAGAATGAATTCCTATAGTTGTATATTTAGTAATTCCTGAACTCTGTCTTATGTATTGAGGATCATTGAAATAAGCAAAAATACTATTTTCATGAAAAATACCATTGATAGGTATTTCAATGGAGACACCGGAAGGGGACATTAGTTCGTTCTTTCGTTCTTGAATCGATTGGAATGGAAATGGAATAAGAAATCTATTTCTTCGCCTTTTCGCCAAGAAATAAAAAGTATCGTTCAAAATAGCAGGATACATTAAATCAGAATGATCTGTACATATGATTTGATTCAATATTGAAGAATCGCTAATCCACTTTTCTTTTGTACCAAAAGTATTGAATTTATGTTTTACTTGATCATTCCTTTCTAAAAGATTCGAAATATTTGTTTTTCCATTAGAAAGTGAATCCATGGTAACTTGATCTTGATCCTTGCGAAGTAAAAAATGGATTGTATTAGACCTGCACGACTTTCCTGACAATATCCATAAATGACTTGTTTTTGGTAAGATATGTACATTACTATATATAAATTGTGATGTATGGTACACATCGGTACTCCAATGCATTTCCCCTTCTGAGTCAGAATAAATATGTTTTTGAACCCTCTCTTTCAAATTTAAAGTAGATGTTCCCGCGCGGATCTCCGCAATCACTTGTTCTGATTTTACATATTGATTATTTTGAACTAATAGAAAACTTTTTGGTGGAATAATGACGTTATGTATAATATCGTCACTTTCAATAGTTACATAGAAGTCTATATTACATATAAAAGCAGGATATCCATGACGTGTCCGTGTAGGGTGAACTAAATCCTCATTAAATTTTATTTTTCCATTCGAGGGGGCTCGCACATATTCAGCAGTACCCCCTGTGAATACTCCACCAGTATGAAAAGTTCTTAATGTTAGTTGAGTTCCCGGTTCTCCAATAGATTGACCAGCAATAATCCCTACAGCTTCTCCCAATTCTACCAGGTCCCCATGAATAGGACTCCGCCCATAACACAATCGGCAGATCCAAGACGTATTCCTACAGGTAAAGGGGGTTCGAATAAATATTGGTTGTGTTTGAAAAGTTATGAATCGATTGATAAGTCCAATTCCAATATCTTGATTTCTAACGACAATGCACCGTGAACCTATATATATATCGTCTGCTACTACACGACCAATTAATGTTTGTATCAAAATTCTTTCTGGCATCATTCCATTTCGGGTGTTTACATAAATCCCACGGATGGTACCGCAATCTGTTCGCCGTACAACAATGTGTTGAACCACTTCAACAAGTCGACGTGTAAGATATCCAGCATCTGATGTTCGTACAGCAGTATCTACAACCCCTTTACGGGCTCCGTAGCAAGAAATTATATATTCTGTTAAAGACAGTCCTTCACGTAAATTGCTTTGAATGGGTAAATCAATCATTTGTCCTTGTGGATCTGACATTAATCCTCTCATTCCGACTAATTGGTGCACTTGAGATGCATTTCCTCTAGCTCCTGAAAAAGACATGATATGGACTGGATTAAAGGGGTCAGTCATCCTAAAATTGGAATTCATTTGTTGTCGCAAATATTCGCTTGTAGCATACCATATTTCAATGGATTGGCGTAATTTTTCTACCGCATGGACATTTCCATAATGATTATGTTTTTCCAAAATGGAACTTTGTTGTTCTGCATCTTGGACTAGCCATCCTTTTGAAGGTATTGTTAAAAGATCATCAATTCCTAATGAAATAGATGTAGCAGTAGCTTGATGGAATCCTAGAGTCTTTACTTGATCTAGGATGTGTGATGTATATGCCATTCCGAAATGATCTATTAATCTGCTAATAAGTCGTTTAATGGCAGTTCCACCTATCACGTTATTGTGAAAGACTAGATCGGCCCGTTCTGCCATAAGTACCTCCATATTCCACTCAGTGTTATTCGGTTCGACAATGGATTTGAGTTAATGATTGGAAAACTTCCTTTTCTTTATGTTTATTCACGTAGAAAATTGAAAAGATGCTAGTTGACCTGAATTTACACCAGTATCATAAATTGACTTAGCGTGGATACCAACACTAACCATTTATATGATTAGATACCATATGAATCGGCTCGAGAAAAACCTTGTATAGCTTCTTCGATTTCTCGATAAAAAGAAATATGACCAATAGTGGTTCGAATGTATATACAACGAATTTCTTTTTTTATACTTCTTATTACTAAATAATCCCCATAAATCTCATAATAGGTACCAAAAGATTCATAGTGAACTTCGATAGGAACTTCTCTTGAAGACATAATGCATTGATCTATTCGCCACCGGAGCCAAAAAGGACTATCGAAATTTATTCTTTTCTGTCTATAAGCTCCAATTGCATCATAGGAATTGCAAAAAAAGGGTTCTTTTTTTTTCATATACTTCAAGTTATTATTGCTAATTTTTTCATTGTGAGAATTTCGGGAATTAAACGAATTATACCTGTTTGCACAAATACCTCGACGATTTCCGCTAGTTAATACGTAAAGTCCAATAAGCATATCTTGAGTTGGTACACAAATGGGATCCCCAATAGCCGGAGACAAGAGATTCGTATGAGAAAACATAAGTAAACGAGCTTCTGCTTGAGCCTCCAAAGATAAAGGCACATGAACAGCCATTTGATCCCCATCAAAGTCTGCATTGAATCCCTTACACACCAATGGATGTAAACAAATAGCACGTCCTTCGACTAAAATGGGTTGAAATGCCTGTATGCCCAATCTATGCAAAGTAGGCGCTCTATTCAGCAATACTGGATGCCCCCGCATAACTTCTTGAAGTATTTCCCATACAATGGGTTCTTTTTCCCGGATTTTCCTCTTAGCAACTCCTATGTTCGAAGCAAAATGGTTTTGAATTAAACCACGAATTAGAAACGTCTGAAATAGCTCTATTGCTATTTCGCGGGGCAATCCACATCGATGTAATGAAAGTGATGGACCTACGACAATAACAGAACGCCCCGAATAATCAACTCGTTTTCCAAGAAGAGTCTCTCGAAATCTTCCCTCTTTGCCCTCAATTATATCGGAAAACGATTTGTAAACTTTATTATTACCGTCCCTCATTGGTTGTCCGCGGATTCCATTATCAAGAAGTGTATCCACGGCTTCTTGTACCAATTTTTCTTGACACATTACTAATTCCTCTGGTGTAGATCTACTTGTTGTTAATAGATCAATAAGAGTATTGTTCCGATAGATAACTCTTCTATAGAGTTCATTAATATCCGAACTCATTAGTTTACCGCCATCTATTTGAATAATTGGTCTCAATTCGGGAGGAAGCACTGGTAAGAGACATAATACCATCCATTCTGGTTCTATATTTGTTCGGATAAAATGCTTAGCTAATTCCATGCGTCGAACCAAAAAATTCTTTCTTCTTCCAACTTTTTGATCTTCCCATTCATTTTCATTGTCAGTGGACCCCTCTTCTCCTAATTCTGTCCATTCTAGCAACGAAGAATCCATAATCATTCTTAAATCCAGATCAACTAATTGTTCTCGTATAGCACCCGCTCCACTAGAAATTTCTCTATTTCGAAATGTATCCAAACCTTGAGTAGCAAAAAAGAGTGGGAGACTGTATCTCCAGGATTGGATTTCATAGTCGAATGAACCTCGTAATCGTAAGAAAGTTGGTTTTTTAACTACGGGCCTAGCAAAAGAAAAATTTGGATAGGATCCAATAAGATGGATCTCCCCCTTTGAAAATCGGACATGAGGGTTTCCTCTCATCCGGCTAAAGTATTTACACACAATTAAAGATAAAGAAAGGGGTTTCCGCTTTCATATTTTTGAAAACCTCTAATCTAAAATATAAAATAAAAAAGGTTTACTCTTGACTCAAGTTATCAATAAAGACCAAGCAACATTTCATTGATACATTCTTCGGTTTTTCTGAATTTTTTATGCAATTCGAAATTCCGACAGAAATAAAATGTAAAATTCTTGAGTAGTCTACCTCCCTTCGAACGAGGAATCCTCTAAAATGAAATTCTTAATAAAAAAGGAATATCTTCGACTTCATAAGAGATTTCTTTGTCTCTGTATCATACCGTTTGATCTTTTAGGTCAAGACGTCACCTCGACGGGTATGCCACGATGTCTTAAAGCCTATATGCGATAGATAAACTTCTGCAATCATGATATATTTTATTCTTTGAACATAATTTTAGTTCTTTTAAAATAAAAAAAAAAAAAAGAGATGGAATAATGAATTCCACAAAAAAGTATTTTTTTTTTCACAAGGTACATACAGTATAAAGAGTTTTTTGTTACTGAATTGACCATAGACCAACTCCCTTATTGGGAGTATTCAATACACCCATGAATTGAATTCTGAGCTTCATGTTACTCATCCCAAGAGACATGCCAGATATAGGACATTCCAATTTAATTGAATGGAATGACAGTTTTTCATTCGAAATCTGTACAATAAGAATTTTTATCAAATCACACATCGCAGTATACTAGACCCTCTAATTCTTTAAGAGGTTTATCTAAAAGGCTCGCGATATAACTAGGAAGACGTTTCAAATACCACACATGGGTTACTGGACATGCTAATTTGATATACCCCATTTGATATCTACGTATCCGAGAATCAACAAATTCTACTCCGCATTGTTCACAAAATTGAGGTTGGTCTTTTTTATCTCCGATTACTCGATAATTTCCACAAGCACAAATCCCACTTTTTATAGGCCCAAAAATTCTTTCACAAAATAATCCATCTTTTTCAGGCTTATTGGTTTTATAATGAAGAGTATAGGGTTTTGTTACCTCCCCAACTGTTTCTCCATTAGGTAGGATTTTTTTTGCCCAAGCACTTATTTGTTCAGAGGAAACTGATCCAATTCGAAGGTGTTGATGTTTATACTGATCAATCATAAAATAAAATTTCGGATTCAGTCCAATTAAACTTCCTTCCTTTGAATCTGAAAGTCTTTCTCAGAGACAAGGAAATGATTCAGTTCCAGAGCCAAAGATCGTAGTTCGCGAACGAGCAATCGAAAAGATTCTGGAGCATCCACAGGTTTCGGTATTGTTCCTCCACTAATTGTAGTTCCAAGTACTTCTTGACGAGCTTTAATATGATCAGATTTATAAGTAAGCATCTCTTGTAAAATATGAGCAACACCGAATCCCTCGAGGGCCCAAACTTCCATTTCGCCTACCCGTTGTCCTCCTTGTTTGGCCCTTCCTTTAAGGGGTTGTTGTGTAACAAGTGCATAAGGTCCACTGGAACGTCCATGTATTTTATCATCAACTTGATGAATTAATTTCAAGATATAAGGCTTTCCTATTATAACGGGCTGTTCAAAAGGATTCCCCGTTCTTCCATCAAATATTCTGCTCTTTCCCGGATACTCGGGTTCAAATATCCATGGATTCGATGTTTCTTTACTGGCCTCATATAATTCAGAAAACACAAGTTTTCTGGAAGCCTCTTGTTCATATCTCTCATCAAAAGGTGCTATTCGATAATGTCTATTTAGCATACTCCCAGCTAATCCGAGCGAACATTCTAATATCTGTCCTACATTCATTCGAGAAGGGACCCCTAATGGATTGAAGACCATATCAACGGGTCTTCCATCTTGCAAATAAGGCATATCCTGTCTAGACAAAATCTTTGAAACGATACCTTTATTTCCATGTCTCCCGGCCACTTTATCACCTACTTTGATTTCACGTTTCTGTGAAATATATATATGAATTGTTTCTGGATTATAGCTAGAATCCGCTTTTTTGTGGAGCCATCTCACATCAATAACTCGGCCCCTACCACCTATAGGTAGTTTTAGACAAGTTTCCTTTGAGGTGGATACCTGAATCCCAAGTATAGCTCGTAATAATCTATCTTCCGGGGCATATGAGGATTCTTTTGCCATTTGAGGCGTTAATTTACCCACTAAAATATCGCCCGTTTCTACCCAAGATCCCAGAATTACAATTCCATTTTTGTCTAAATTTCGGAGTAAATGCGCTTCTAGATGTGGAATTTTATTAGTGATTCTTTCAGGACCATGGCTTGTCACATGAGTCTGAATTTCATATTTCCGTATGTGAAAAGAAGTATAAATATCTTCATAGACCAGACGCTCACTAATGAGTACAGCATCTTCAGAATTGTAACCTTCCCATGGCATATAAGCTACTAATACGTTTTTTCCCAAAGCGAGTTCACCACCAACTGTAGCAGCACCATCTGCTAAAATTTGTCCCTTTTTTACGCATTTACCCTTCTGAACCTGGGATTTTTGATGCATGCAAGTATTTTTGTTGGAACGTTGATATATAATTAATGGAATACTTAGACCATTCCCACTTCCAAATAAAATAATCTTCTCAGTATCATTATAAACGATCTTTCCCTCGTGTTCGGCTATAGCGGGAACTCCCGAATCTAAGGCCACTTGGCGTTCCAATCCAGTTCCAACAATGCACTTTTCGGACCGAGAAAGAGGAACTGCTTGACGTTGCATATTAGAACTCATTAAAGCTCTATTCGCATCATTATGCTCGATAAAAGGAATGAGGGAAGCTCCAATAGAAAAATATTGGAAGGGAAAAATACTTCGAAGATGAACCTGTTCCCATGCAATAGTAAGAAATTCTTGACGGTATCGAGCTGGAACAATCTGCTCCTCCTGAATACCTCGATTCAGTGCTAAAAAATTTCCCGTCGCTACCATATAGTATTCATCTCTACTTGGTGATAAAGAAAGCATTCGTATTCTTTTTGATCTCTCAGAAATTTCATAAAATGGACTTTCTATAGACCCCCAACGACCAATCCTTGCGTGAATTGCCAAGGATCCAATAAGTCCGACATTGATTCCTTCAGAGGTGTCAATTGGACAAATGCGTCCATAGTGACTAGGATGGATATCCCGTATCCGAAAACTAGCAGTTCGCCCCGTCAATCCTCCAGGACCCAAAGAACTCAATTTCCTTCCATGAACTATTTGGGTCAATGGATTGGTTTGATCTAAAACTTGAGATAATGGATGTAATCCAAAAAAAGATTCATAAGTGGTTGTTAATGGCGTTGAAGTCACTAAATTCTGAGGAGTCGGTATCAATTTATATCTAATTGCTCCACATATAGTTCCTATAATTAGATTTTCTAAACGAACGAGAGCCAATCCAAATTGATCTTGTAAGAGATCTGCTACGGAACGAATACGTTTATTTTTCAAATGATTCATATCGTCAAGTGTACCCATTCCAAATTTCATTCCAATCAAATGATCCGCAGCTGTCAATATATCTCGCGGTAACAAAAATGTATTGTTCTCGGGTATATCAATATTCAGCCTTCGGTTCATATTTCGCCGCCCAATTCCTCCTAATTCACATCTTTGTTGAAAAAATTTTTTTTGTAATTCCGTACATAAAGATTCAGGAAATATGGGATCTCCGCCTACACAAGCAAATTGTCGATAAAACTCCAAAATGGCATTTTCTTTTGACCTTATTTTTTTTTCCTCCTTTTCATTGAGGAAAGACAAGAAAATTTCGGGGTAACAAACGTTCTCAAGAATTTCACTTAAATTCGAACCCATAGCTGATGATAGAACTAGAATAGATATTTTCTGTTTCCTACTTACACGAGCCCATATCCTTGCTTTTCTATCAATTTCTAACTCTAATCTTCCTCCCCAATCTGATATTATTGTGCCAGTATAGACTGAAATTCCGTTATGGTCCAATTCTGACCGATAATAGATACCGGGGCTTTGCAATATTTGATTGATTACAATTCTGTATATTCCATTTACTATAAAAGTTCCCAGGGAATTCATTAGAGGAATGTTTCCAATAAAAATAATTTGTTCTTGGATATCCTGACTGTTTTTCCAAATTACTCCCGCGGATATATATAATTCAGAGGAATATGTAAGTGATTCATATACAGCATCTTTTTCTTTTATTGAGGGTTCTACCAATTGATATGTTTCCGCAAATAACTGAAATTCAATTTCTTGATCTGTATCTTCAATTTTTGGAAACTTCAAAAGTTCTTCTGTTAAGCCCCGATCAATGAATCTACAAAACCCTTCAAATTGTATTTGATTCAATCCCGGTAGTGTAGACATTCCTTCATTCCCAACCCCAAGCATTTTTGATTACCCCTTTTTTATTTTATAGAAAATATCCCATGATTTGCTGTCATTCTTCATCGAATCACATGAATATATTTAGCAATAATGGAATTTATGTTCTTTTTACTTTACTGAATCACATGAAATTTTACCTCACTACGTCTATGAAATACGCATTATGAAAAGAGGAATTTTGCTACTCAAATTAGAATTTGCAACAAAACAAACAAATAGACTTTTAGTAGAGTATGATATTACATATTCCAATTCGATTGATACCCCAAAAATAAATTCAGGATTTGATTGGCTCCATGAGAGAAAGATTTTAAAAAGAAAATAATCAGAAAAAATATACAATTTTTTTGAGCCCTTTACCATTTCAAGTGTTCAAAAAAGAATGAAAATTAACAAAGAAGAGAGATATTTTGACCCTTTTTTTTTTTTTTAGAATGAGAGGATTGCAGTGCATAAAAAGACTTGGATTTATGAAACATGCATAGATCTAACTTCAGCTATAGCTATCTATATATGTCTATTACGTTATTGCAGTCCTATTTGTTCGGGACATAATATGTTGTGTTCATTTTTTTTCTATTCATTCATCAATCTATTTCATGAAAAATTGGCAAAAAAATGAAAGTACGAGAATTTATTGAAAATTCCCTGTAATCCATAATTACATAGAAAATACCCAATTATATAATGTGTAACAATGAAAAGTGATATTATGGGGTTGACATATATTAACAGTTCCTGTTATAATGGAAATAGATAAAGATTATAAAAAATATATATATATATAATAATATATATAATAATAATATTGATTTGTTATGTATCAATTTCGATTTTTTTCTCATTAAGAAATTCAGATTCCTGAATTCTTCCGGAATTTGTAGTTAACAGTTGCTATTTGTCCCGAAATTTTTACTTTTTTTTTTTTGACTGAAAAGGTATACGTTGGTTTTTTTGAGAGGAGGATATTCTGATCTATTTTTTTGTATCATTTTGGCGGCATGGCCGAGTGGTAAGGCGGGGGACTGCAAATCCTTTTTCCCCAGTTCAAATCCGGGTGTCGCCTGATCGACAAGAGAATCAAAAAGGGTTTCTTCCATTTTGTTGATACAGAAACTTAGTATTTTTTCCATGTGGAAGCAAGTGTAGGGACAGAGTTCTTGAGACTTGTTTGATTCAAAATTCTACGCATCGCTAGATTTGTTCTCTAAAATGCTTTCAATCTTTGCGTCTCGGATTCAAGGAAAAATGAATTAGAGTAGGGAAATGAAAAGGAATAGATCAATCTTGAAATGAAAGTCTTTTCATTCTACTACTGCTGTAGTGTCCGTCTACTGATTGGGTCTTGAATTAGATTGGATAAGGATAGGTAGGACAGGGAATATAATTCCATTTTTAGTTGGCGAAGGGATTGAAGAAAAACCGTCTATACAAACGTATGTAAAATATATGAACGCTTCTGCATTTTTTCCATATTTGTTAGATTAATGAAATTGAATATCTAATTCGATTTCTTTTTTTTTATTTATTGAATTTTTTTTATTTATTGAATTTCATGATATTCATATTATTTTTTTTTTACTATGAATTTCATTTTCATTTCATCCAATTCAAAAAAAATTCCATTCCATTTGATTTCATTTCCATTCTAAGAAAAAGAAAACTCTTTCTTTTGGGTAATCGATAGTAAAAGAATTTAATAGGCTGTTTTCCAATTGTTTTAGAGAACGAATCGGGATACAATAAGGATTATTAGATCAAATTGAACTAAGAGATGCAAATAAGAGTATGCAAAGGAATCTATCTTGATTCTTTATTTTTTACTTAAATAAAATGAAATGGGGGGGGGGGAAAAAAAAGAAAAATAGGTTTGTATTCCAACCTATTAGTATGATTCATTACCTTACTACTTCTAAGGATATTTTTTATTTATGCTGAAAATTTCTCAATTCTACTCCGAATCTGATAAGAACTTGCTAGATGTTCTAATTGGATGTTTCATCAATGGTGTTATGACGGAATGGAATACTTTTTTGACTCTG